CACACACACACACACACACACACACACACACACACACACACACACACACACACACACACACACACACACACACACACACACACACACACACACACACACACGCACACACACACACGCACATACACACGCACAAACACACATGTACACACACTCACGGACACACGGATATTGTATTTTCCTGATATGTGACAAGGGTGACAGGGGACAGTGTAAAAATATTTGGTCAGCGAGTAATAACATCAACATCACCAGTTGTTTCTATACACTCCAACTACATACAACCAGGGGCGGCGCCACAGGGGGGCAGGGGGGCGGTCGCCCCCCTATCATTTGCAAGAAAAAGGAAAATAAAAAGGAAAGAAGAAGACAAAGAAAAAGAAAAAGAAAAAGAAAAAGAAAAAAAAAGAAAAAGAAAAAGAAAAGAAAAAGAAGAAAAAGAAAAAGAAAAAGAAAAAGAAAAAGAAACATCTTGCAAATGTCTTGCAAATGATGGGTGGGGTGGGGGGTCCCCCCCCCATCATTTGCAAGAAAAGGTAAAGAAGAAAAAAAAGATTCTTGCAAATAATAGGGGGATCGCCCAAAATTGAGTGATGTAGCCTACGAGCTGGACCACTTTCATCGAAAAATCGAAAAATTAAGTGTCGAAATTCAATCCATATAAAACCTGTGCTTAATTTGATAATCGATGTCAAGGTGTTATTTCCTTGGGAGTCCCAAGTTGGGACCATCATTTGTCGATGATGCTGTTTCCCGGCGGAAAGGTAGGCACACTTGAGGGTGTTAACAACTTATAAATTATAATTACAACGTTCAGACTGACCTCTAATAATACTCTTACATGCTATCTTATTTTTACCTCCGCCCACGGAGTGGAGGGGAGGTTATGTGATCGGGTCTGTGCGTTCGTGTACACGTTAGCGCGCGCGCGCGCGCGTGTGTGTGTGTGTGTGTGTGTGTGTGTGTGTGTGTGTGTGTGTGTGTGTGTGTATGCGCGCGTGTGCATGGGTTCATTTCTCTCCAGGTCATGTTTTTACATAATACATTCTCTCCTCTACATAATACAACAATTATTGTTTCAAGTGCTACAGCATAGATTTTAAAGCAAATCACTGTTCCCCCACAGTTCCGGAGACCCCCTCTTTTAAACGTGTCCAGTTTCATAGCATTAAATTTCAACGAAATCCTAGCTAGTTCCGGAGACCCCCATTTTCGCACATAGCCTGTTCCAGAGCATACCACATTCAACAAACATTAGTTCCAGAGACCACCATTTTCAGGTCTGTGTTATAGTTCCAGAGCCCCCCACCCATTTTTAATTTCGCAGTGGCACATACCAGATACCTACCATAATGTGGGGTGAGTCCCCCCCCCCCGGGGTTTCATCTCCTTGGTATATGTTGCTCCTTGGTTCCCTGCACAATTTTTTTTTTCAGCAATTTGAGGGCTTTAGCTAAACTCTGAGAGCTTCCCCGGACCCCTGCCAGGGGCTCTGCCCCTGGACCCCGCCAGGGGCACTAAGGCGGGCCCCTGGGGCCGGATTCATCAACGTTGCGCAAAGTGTATTGCGTACACAGAGTTTCTACGAAGTACGTACGCCAAGCTCGTAGGTGCGATTCATCAACGCAGCGTAGCACCTGCGTACGCAAATGTTGATGAATTCCAGTGTAAATCCACTAAGAAGTATGCCATCCTAGCTGCTGAGCTGTTGAGGGGCGTTGCCTAGCATAGAACCCAATCACACTGTGCGGACATCAACCATACGGAACCAACTGACGCCTCTCTGGTATGTAAACCACTATAGCCATAGGCTGCCTCTACAGGAGTGCTGCGGCGGGATGTGATAGTTGGTGCCTCATTTTTGGTTTGTAGTTGATTGCGCTTTCACCATCATACTTCGATGAAAGTTGCATGGCGGATGGCGCCACAAGTGTCGTGTGCGTGTTTTACGTACCGTACACGGGCGGTACCGTGGTGCACGTACAGGTGCCGTGTGCTGACAGTACCGTGCGTGCCGTGTGCACGTAGCACGTGCGATGCCCGTGCGAGCTGCACGTATCACGTGCGTGCGAGTAGCGTGTGGTGCACGATACCACCGTTGCGTGTGTGTGCAGAGTACCACAGCTGCGCTGCGTGTGCAACTACAAGTGCTCGTGCGTCACATAGCACTACACGTCGCAGCGTGCGTGTGCCATGTACACGGCCTAACTACTAATGCTTATAACGCTAAAACGAATGCCAAGCCTATGACAAAGACAGCGTCAAAAAGGCGCCGCCTGTCTATGCTAGTATCGGTAAATTATTTATTTATTTTTAGTTGATAGTGCGTGTGCCCAGTAACACGTGCGTGCGTGTCACACGTACAAGTTGCGCACGCGTGTGCAAAAACGTACACCGGCTAACTACAGAACTCGCTTTATAAACGAAAACAATGGGCCAAGCTAGGAACCAAAAACAAGCATCGCTG